AGTGTTTATATTGCCCTTTGAGAGGAGTCACACAGGTTTCTGGCCTGGTTTAATCCCCAAGGGCAGTTCCATTTTACTGGTAACAGTGAAGTTTATTTCCCTAAAGGACCAAGGTTAGCAAAATTGTCCACCCCACGGTTTTGTTTGCTTATCTTCACAGAAATTTCCCTCCTACTATTTAGCGAATATGAAGTCAGAAAGAGCTCAGTCGTCACGGTAGTGCAAATTCTTAAGATAGATGCAGGCTCAATGAATTCCAGGAATAAGGCCATTGTGGCTGAAATACACTAAGAATGAGAAATGCATGGGAGAGGAGGTCCAAGGCATAAGTGGGACCCAGATGCTACAGGAGTTTGAAGACCAGGTCAGAAGGCTGGAATTTCTTGTGAGTGCATAGGCAAGCTATTGCAGAGTTTTGAGTAAAGATATAATATCTGAGTTAGAGTTTTAAAAGATCACCCTGACTGTGTATGCATTATAGAAAGGAAAAAAGAGAAGCAATACAGTTGACTAAGAAAAAGAGGATGTTGGCTTGGACTAGGGTGGTAGCAGTAGAGATGGATAGAAGCAGGTGGGGTCAAGCTGTATGGTTTAGAGGTAGAGTCAATAGAATTTTTAATGAAATGAATACATGGGGTAAGAGAAAGCAAGGAATTAGGGCTGCTTGAGCAATAACGTGGGTGGTGGCACTAGGCCTGAAGATGCAGATGTGCAAAACTAGAGAGAAATAAATTCGGCCACAAAATGAAAAGCTTTGAACTTGAAAATTAATTTCTGTTATTCTTCAAGTAAGGACATTTATAAGTCAATGCAATTTTATTAATACACATATATAGAAATATACTAAATATTTTAATATTATCTAAATGCTTTATTCGGACTCATAGATTCTCAATTGGTTGACTCAAAATTGTACCCCTTTCAGATCACCTTTGAATATACACTTGCTATCTTTCTGTTGACCCCATTTCCTAGGAAAGTTAATTTAATGCAGGACTTACTAACTACTTTGTGCTTAACACTAAGTACTATTTTAAGAATTATGAGGAATAGAAATTTAGTAACTAAAACAGGAATCAAATCTTAAGGACATTACATTTCCATTGTCAAGGTAAAAACAAACACTGATAATACAGCTAAATAATGAAATCAAGTGATACAGTACTAAATACAAAAGCTAATAATAGAGAAATCTGACCATCAGTGTCATAAGAGTTGGGATAAAACTTTTAGACTGTGAAAGCTGGAGAAATCCGAGAAGACTTTTTAGAAGAATAAATATATGGAACTCCAACAAAAAGTTGTGTTCAAAAGGTAAAGTAGAAATCAGCCTCTCTACAGTTCTGTTCACTAATATCAAAGATACTGGTCATTTCTACCAAAGGAAGAATTTTAGCTACACGTCCTTCGAGGCTTCACTGAATATATCATGTTGAAAAATAAGGTCTTCTAATTACATTTATCTTGAACTAGAAATCACCTGAAAGGATTTTGTTGCTATTTCAGAGATAATTGAGCCTAGAACATATTAAGTCATATATGTTTCACTGGATTCTCTCCCCCTAAAGGTGATATGTTGAAGCCTTAGCTCCCAAGGTGATTATATTTGGAGAAGGGGCTCATAGGAGGTAATTAAGGTTAAGTGAGGTCATAAAGGTGGGATTCTAATCCAAAGGATTAGTGGCCTTATAATAAAAGAAAGACAGCAAGAGATCTCTCTCCATTTGCATGCTTTAAGGAAAGGTGCCATGTGAGGACATGCAAGAAGGTGACCTTCTGTGAGCCAGGAAGAGAGTCCTTACCAGGAACCAAATTAGCTGACACCTTGATCTTGGACTTTCCAGCCTCCAGAACTGTGAGATATAAAAGTCTGATTAAGCCCCCCAGTCTGTGGTATTTTGTTATGGCTAAGACAGTGAACTACATCAGAGCAGCACTGAGTTGCAAGATGATTCCAGGTGCCTTGTTTGTACACATTGGTCTTCAGGCAGAAACAGAACATAAGAGTGATTTGTGACAGTGCTGGTGCTTTATAGACGTCTTCCTGGACATTTTAGAGAGAGAGAGAGAGAGAGAGAGAGAGAGAGAGAGAGATCGAGAGAAAAGACAGTAGAAAATGATGTACTACAAGTGACTGATCAATTAACCAACTGAAGCTAAGAACCCTAGACCAGGCCAGTAAAGATAAGAATATGGCTACGTGAAGAGAGTGCCAGGGGTGGGGGTAGGGAGGCAGAAGAATTTTCTCTATATGTGATGACGGTAAACAGGGAAGCAGGATGGTTCCCTGACAATGTTGTTCATGAATCAAAATATTTTTAAGATCTCAGTTCAATCCAAGACCTTAATTCTTCCACCATTACATGAAACTTTCCAACAGATTATGACAACCTAGCTTCCCAAAACATAAAAAAAAAAAAAAAAAACAGCAGGTCTGAAAAAGCTTCAGAGGAAACTGGCTTTGGCTACATCAGAAAGTTTAACCATTAAGGTTATGAAAGAAGTTATCTACAGGAGGCAACATATATGCAGCCAAAATGATTCTCATGAGACAATGGTGCCTACAAATGATTAGACAATTAAGACACAGCTAATCAGAGCCCGTAAACTCATTGCAATTACTCTCCTATTTAAGGTTTGACTTCATTACCCTGTGCTTTGGGAGGGAGGTGAGTGGTAAAGATACAGTTGCAAGGTTAATTCTCTATAATTTATAAACTTCATCCAAACTGTGATGGAAAGAGATTTAAAAGGAAAAAAGAGAAAGGCCACTCCATTAGCCTTTGAAGGGAAAGGCATCCCAGCATTTAAGAGTGTCACATAACCTCTAAACAAGTAACCCATTTACAGAAGAAATGTGGGTAAGAAAAACATAAACTTTAGATTTGAGCCTCTAATATGTTATAAACAGTAAAAGGAATACAAATTAAATTATGATAGAAATAAAAACTTCTGATGCTTTATGATTGAAAAATAAAACAAACACTATTTATTAATTCTCAACATCTAGAAGGCAACATTTTTTGCCTCGGGCATTAATTATGGTTGCACTATTGGTGGGGTCTAGAGGAAGTCAATTTAATCTGCTTCATCCCCAGGGACAGAGAGCATCCACAAGTTCACTGAGTAATAAATTATCTCCAATTTACTGTTCAATAGAGAGAGTAAAGAGTGAACTGAAATTTTGTGCTACATTGAATAAGCTGGTCCATCCGGAAATGTTGGTCTATTTCTTCAACCACCATCTGAAAAGCATTATCCACTCTGAGAAATGTCTCCTTCCTATATTCTTCCAAAGGGATGGGCTTCAAGATGAAGGTCCTGGGAATTTTTTATTTTTCCATGATTAATTTTTTAAGGAGAGAGATTGTAGGCCAGTTCCTAACCATTCTCTGTGATTATTGTGGTTTCTATAGAATTTCATGAACTTTTGGTATTTTTAGCCAGATTTCTTCATTGGTATGTAGTTGTGCCAGCTGCCACAATCTATTCATCATTATCTATAATAAGTAATATCAACACATACCACTCTTATCTGGAAGGACCTTAGTCTGACCTGCTCAGCCTCTGATAGACGTAAGGAGTCATGAGGAGGGATAAGGACACCAGCCAGATGGGCCTTGGACACACATCTGGATTGGTTTGCTAGGGCAGTCATAGCAAAGTAACACAAACCAGGCATCTGAAACAAAAGAAACTTACTGTCTTGCAGTTCTGGAGGCTAGAAGTCCAAGAGCAAGGGACTGGCAGCGTTGGTTCCTTCTAAAGGTCGTTGGGGAAGGATCGGGTCCAGTCCTCTGCTCTTGGCTTATAGATGGCCATCTTCCCTCTGTGTGTGTCTCTTTCTCTACATGTGGCACTTTTTCTATAAGGACACCAGTCCTACTGGATGAGAAGCCCACCCTAAGACTTCATCATAAATAATTAACATCTGCTGTGATCCTATTCCCAAATGAGGTCACAATCTAAGGCACTGGGGATTAAAACTTCATATAAATCTGAGGAGACACAATTCAACCCACAACATCTATGAAAGAACACTTGTGCCAATAAGTGTCCCTTAGTTTGTCAAGCATTTATTTGGAGCAGATGCTCTGTATCCATCATCTTATTTAATCATTATATCCCTGTCTTGGTCTGCTAAAACTGCCATAACAAAATACCATAGATGAGTGACTTAAACAACAAACATTTATTTTCTCACAGTTCTGGAGGCTGGAAGTCTGAGATTAAGATGTCAGCAGGATTGGTGTCTTCTGAGGCTTCTCTCTTTGGCTTGCAGATTGCCATCCTCTCCCTGTGTCCTCACATAACTTTTCCTCTCTGCATCCCTGTAATCTGTCTAAATGTCCAAATTTCTTCTCTTATAAGGACATCAGTCATATTGGAGTAAAGGCTTACCTCAATGGCCCCTGTCTTGGTCTGCTAAAACTGCCATAACAAAATACCATAGATGAGTGACTTAAACAACAAACATTTATTTTCTCACAGTTCTGGAGGCTGGAAAACCCAAGATCAACATGAAGCAGAATTTGGTTTTTGGTGAGAACTTTCTTCCTGGCTTACAGGCAGCCACCAACTTATTGTATACTCACATGACCACTTCTTTGTACAATGTGGAGAGAAAGCTCTGATGTTTCTACCTCTTCTTATAAGCACACCAGCCCCAACAGATTAGAGTACCACTCTTATGACCTCATCTAACCTTTATCACCTCCTCAGAGACCCTATATTCTAATATAGTTACATTAGGGGTGAGAACTTCAATACCCAAATTGGAGGCAGGGGCCACTACTCACTCCATAGCAATCCCTGGTGGAAGCCGTTATTATCCTCATTTTACATATGAGGAAACTGAGACACAGAGAGTTTAATCCCAGGTCCAAAGCTAGAACTAGTACAAAATGCAAGTTGGTTGGACTTCAAAAAACCATTTACCTATCCACCATTACTAGGTATCCCAAACTAGGACCTAATATGAGAAAAGGGAAATTGGGAAAGGCTTTGCAGGTGTCTATAACCAGCCAAGGGGTATGACCCACCCCGGTGGAGATCTGGGTTCCTTTTTCCACAGCCACACTCACTGCCACTTCTCCAGCTCCCGGAGGCAACACAGATGAATAGGCAGGAAGACTGTACTAGGGAGCCATAAGTTTGGGGTGGAGCTGGGTTTGAATCTCAGCTCCACTACTTACTGTGACCTAAAGCAAAGTGTGTAATCTCTCTGGGCCTCAGGGTTCTTCTCTCCTATGATCACAGTGAGGACTGAAGGAGTTAACGCACGTAAGGAGTTTTAGAACCTAGCCTGGCACATTGTAAATACTTTACGTTTTATCATGATTATGGCTATTCTTTTTTGAATCACAAGGAAGAGAAAAATTAGAAATCTGAAGAATAGAGGGTTTTAAAATGCTCTCAAATTTCTTAACTATCTATAAGTACTATGTGCTCTGACATGCATTTAGAGGTTCTAGAGAAAAATAATTTTTTGACATCAGCTTAGTACAAACTATTCTAAAACATCTTCTGCCTTTGGGACAGAACTCCAAGTATAGGACACTTGCAGTGGGATCCAGCAGTGGCCCTGCCTTATCTACAAAAAGGCATGAGTCACATGGTGATGAGGCTAAGTCCATTTCTGAGGTCCCCTCCTCCTCCCCACCTCCTACTTCCCCTTGATATTTTTTTTTCCTGAAAAATCTAAAAGTTTATTGAACCGAGTTTCAAGAATGAGTAACTCAACTAGGCTTGCAGTCTAAATCTGCCATCCATTATATTAATTTCTATCCAATGTATCGAATGACCTGCTCCAGGAAAATGCTCCTTTTGGTGGGATGGGGGTGAGTAAAGAGAGAGGCAATGAAACCCAAATTTAAAATGACTTAAGTCTTACACCTCCAGGAGTATGTCATAGGGAGTGGGAAGCGGGGCAAGGAAGGAATGTTGGTGAGGCCAAACTCAAACCAGAGTCAAACCCTTTACCCTAACATCCCCAAGTATAGAATGTGGTTAATAGGAAGGCGCGAACGTCCAAACCAAACGCTGACTCTCGAAGGGTCAGGAGGGGAAGCATCACATGGAGAAGTCACTTGACCATTTCTTCCTCTATTTGGGACACTCTTGCCTCCAGCTGATTCCGCTGGGGAGGAAAGTCTCCCACTTGCTTCTCTTCGGCTCCCTCTTCTTTCTCATCTGCAAGGGTTGTGTAAAGACATCCCCCGCCACCCAGTTGCAAAAAGTAGCAACTTCCCTTCCGCCTGAGTGAACGTGCATTTGAATGCGTTTCCTTTTCATTAAGAACAAAGGTTGGAGTCCGAGCCTTGCAGCGGGGACAGGAAAGTACGCAGCGTGTATCGAGAGAAAAAACACAGAGAGAGAGTGACCCACGAGAAAGGGAAAGGGGAAAACACCAATCCTCCAGGCACTGGGCTTTTTCGACTTTTCCTTTAAAAAGAAAAAAAGTTTTTCTAGCTGTAGGTTCCAAGAACAGGCAGGAGGGGGGCAAGGCGGGGGGTTTTACAGAAAAGGCGCCTGGTCGGTTATGAGTCACAAACGGATTATAAAAGGGTCGCATGTTCACAGGCGCGGGCTTCCTGTGCACCGCCGAGCTGGGGCGCAGCGCACCCCGCCACGTCGGGCTCCTCCAGCCGGGGGACCGGAGCCGACCAGGAGCCGAGCCCCCAGCACAGACGCACGGGAAAGGAAGGAGGCCCCTCCAGCCCGACAGGTACGCAGACTTTGCCCTAGCCCTCCGCCTGCCCTCTTCTTTCGCGAGCCGGGATGCGGCGGGGCTGTGGGGCCATGGTCCTGGCGCCAGACGACAGGGGCGGGGGTGGCGCGCACGTGGCCGCCAAGCGCCCAGCCAGGCCCCGAGCGCCTGCAAGAGCTGGTCTGAGGGGCGCTGTCCGCAGGACCTCACCCGGGACCGGAGGTCAGGTCGCTCAAGAAGGGATTCCTGGGGGGAAGGGGCGAGGAGAAGGGAGGGTGATAAAGACTTGGCACTCAGCTTCTCCGCAGTTTCCTTAGTTGGAAGAGGAGGTACCTATGACCTGGCCCTGGACCAGATTAGCAGCTGGAGCGGCCAGACGAGTGTGCAAAACACACTTAGGGGCAGGGCGGATCAAATGGGACTGCCTTCAAAACATGAGCTTTCTATTTTATTTTGAAAAGTAATTAATATACTTTATAAAAGTTAGAATCATAACATATTAGACACCAATGTCTTCATTTAATAGACACGAGGACTGAGCAAATGTTCCTTGAGCTTCTGTGTTTATTTGCTCCCATCATGCCAGGGTGTATTTTCAGAGCACATTGCTTATTTTTCTTTATTCTCACAAAAACCCTGGTGGTTGTCTATCCTCCGCATTTTACAGCTCCCAAGGGTGGACTAGGTCTTTTGAATTTTATATCATCTAAAGCAGGCATATTGGGATGATTATGAATAAAATTTAACCTGGAATTATTGAAGCTGACAGCTGACAAAGATATAAGCTAGAATCCAACCCTTAAAAATGAAGAACTGAGGCCCAGAGAGGTAAAGTAATTTCTCCAACATCATACAGCAAATCCAGGATCCCGCGATTTGAAGAGGCCAAAGGTATCTATCTAATGATGCTCATAAGTTAGTTTATATTTTGTGTCAAACAGATGAGGTCAAGTGGAGATGTACTTTTTACACGACAGTACGTAGCTATCTCAAAGCCAAAGTTACCCCTTATTATCTCCATTCATTCCTCTGCAGTGCCTCTTATATGGCTTTCACATAATGTATAATCTAAATCAATTAGGGCAGCTGAACGTTTAATAATCATGTGAACAATATTATAAGCTAAAAAGTTGACATGGCAATTTCCTGCCTATTGTCTAATTCAATAGCCATGATGATAGGGAATTGGCAGAGTAGGTGGTGTTATCCCCATTTTTCTATGAGGACTTGTGGCTCAGATAATTTGTGTTTTCTCTAGTAAGGTCACCAGGTCCTTAGTGTAAAGCCTACTTTTAGGTACAGATGTGGGATGCAGGCTGTGGGGGCGGAGTGCAGACCAAGGGCCTTTTGTCTGTCAGTGCAGGCTTATTTCCATCATACTTTGCTGCCTCCCTGATTTCTTTCAGAGGACCAAAGCACATTTAGTAATTACTTCTGCTGCATGGACCACTCTGTAATGGCCAGTAATAACCAAGTTCTCTCACACTGTAGGTCAGCCCCCCTGACCACAGGAACAAACTTCCTAACCACACACATTAACATGAGTGCTGTCTGAGACCTACACTGTTTCAAGGCAGAACAGTGGCATTTGCTCAAAGTTCTATTCTTGTTTTTACCTGACTAATCATGTGTAAAAAGTATAAGATTGGTCTTTAACAAAAAATCCCTAAGTGCCACATTCTCTTTATGGGAAGGCCATCACCATTTCTGCCTGTGCTAGACACTATTTGTAGATGCTGGAGATGAGACAGAAGAGAGTGAGTGAGCCCTATTCTCATAAATCTATAAGTTAGACGAAAGACTAACAGGACATGGCTATGCAATTTGATATCATTTTAAATGCAGTAACAATAATACTTAAACTAGTTAGAATGTGCTGTGAATTTCACTTTCTTTCCAATAGCAAACATGGAAAATTAATAACCATCTTTCTTTATAGCTCATCAAATCAGTCTTCTGTGAATCAAAAAATCCACCCAAAAAAGCCTTAGGTTTTAACTTTGAAAAGTTTTTTTCATCAGCTATTTTATGTCATGCCTAAGATCTACCATTTAATTTAAAGGAGGTTTTTCATTTTAGAGTAACGGTTCTTTACTCCTTTTTCCCTACTTCAAATCTAATGGAGGTTATCTATGTTTTTCTCAATTTTTTTTTAAGTACATCCTCACACACAGTTTTGCACTCATGTCAGTGGGCTCCAGGCTTCCTTAAATCTCAGCCATGACACTCCTGGGGTAGTTTTATTACCCCTTTTGTAAACCTAAGAGGACTAAATAGCTTGAATGTTGGAGAGTGGTGTGTGGACTCTACCTCACATCTAGACTGAGCACCTCTATCCTTGACTCACTGGCGTCTCTACGTTTTTGTGAGTTATTGGCTATGGCTTAGCTGAAGCTACTGATCTTAATAGCTTTATTGCTTTGATGCTAGACCTCCAGCCCACAGTGCAGAAGCCTGGTACTGTGGGAAGAGCACCAGTCTGAGAACCTTGGCGGGTTTCTAGTCCCAACTCTGTGCAGATTCCTGTGCCTCATTTTTCACATCTCTAACATGGGTAGAGGGTACTGAGTCATTTCTAAAGTCCCTTAAACTGATGAAATTTATGATTCAAGTATGACTACCACTTTACTTCACTTTCATATATCTCCTAAAACACAGCTGGACTCAGTGAACTCATATCGTCTATGTTCAAAGTGAATCAGACTAAATACTAGTATAATTGACTAGAGAATGTATGCTGGCCTTCCACGGATCTTACTGGCTTCAAAACTGTCACACTTTTGCTGAAATTGGATGGACTAACAAAATTGTGAAACATTTTTTCTCAAGGAAAAATATTAAAATTTGAAAAGCCTCTCTTTATCTCACCTTTTCACTGACTACATCTTTCTTACATCTATTCTTTTTATCTAAAATTCTCAAGGAAATGCAGCACTTTCAATTTAATCACTGCTGCACAATTTTCACCCGCATAAAGTGCTTAAGCTCTTTTCATCAATCTTGTCTTTGGACTTCAGGCAAAACCACCCTAAGGCACATTCGTCCTCAGATCAACACATCACATCTGAGCAGTTCAGCATCCTCACTCACAACTCTAAGACTCTCAGCAATGTGCAAGAACACTGTGAACCAAAAGGCACAATTCCTGCCTTTACACACGATGACATACTTGCCAGAAAATTAGGCTTAACATTGGTCAAGAGGCATGATTTTTTGACAGATTGTGAATATCTGTCCCAATTCTAAAAAACGATATCCACATGCAGGTACATGGGCTTAAGGCAATGGCAGATGGAAAAATTACTAGTAAAGAATATCAAACAGCTGATTTAATGAAATTGTGATGCTATATCTAAATAAGGTGAAATGACATGCAATGATGTTTGTGCCATTTCTCCATAAATGAGAATGTTCTATACACAGTATAGGTTCCTGGCTGTCTTAACAAAATGCCATGCTCTTTTATGTCGCTCGTCCACCATCAGGCCAGCATAGTACTTGAGTTTGTGTCTTAGCAGTGCTCCTCCATCCCACTGTTTAACCTGGCCGTTCACCTGTGCCTCAGGGCCCCCAGACATAAATGTAGAAGATGATAGTACTCATTCCTAAGACTCTTATGAGGAATAAATGAGTCCGTGTACATCATGCAGTCAAACTAATAACTGGCCCAGAGTGTGCCCTGTATAAGCATTTGCAATTATTAGTATACATTTATGATCTTGTATATTTCAAGAAACCAGTTTGGAATATGGGATACAAAAGCAGTCTGAGAAAGTAAAGTAAGTCCAAAGTGGTCTCTAAAACTTCTTGACAAGGTAAAAAATCGTTTAGTTTTAAAGAGTTTTTCGCCATTTCAGAATGCATTTTTCTTCTTAACCCAAAGAAAAACTAATAAAACACTTTAGAAAATTATTTCCAAGGAAACATTTTGTCGTACCTTTCAGCAGTTACTTATGACTTAAGAGATTAAGAGAGCAAAGAATTATTTTGATTTGGCTTTTTGATAACCTATAACTTATATAATGATTCAGCTGTAGAGTAGTAGTAAATGTATCTTGACTTGCACTTTTAAAACAATAAATGCAACATGTGATAGGTGTACAGATAGATATAGGTACTCGCAAGTATTCATGACTAATGTCAGTACCATGGCTGACATCCATTAAATCCTGATTATGAGCTCAGCACCTGACTAAATACCTTATATTCATTGTATCACTTCATGTTCACAATGACCTTGTGGGTAGGTTCTATCATTATGTCCATTTTTAGAGAAGCAACCAAGACTTAAAGAGGTTAATTAATGCTACTAGCCAGATATCACACAGCTAGTAGCATTTCTGGGGTCAGGGATGGAACCCAAGCAGGCTGAAAACAGAATAACACCACTAGACCTTTCCCTTAGATTCAGTAATTGATAACATTTACCACATTTGCTTTATTTCTCTCTGTCTCTACCCATCTATCTCTCTCTCTATGTCCATATGCAGAGCTGGCATCTTACCTCCAAATGCTTTAGCACTTATCTCCTGAGAATAAGAACATGCTCTCACACGATGAAAACACATGATTATGGCATCCAAGTGTGGCTTTAAAAACAGGAATGGAAGCTAATCTTCACCCACAACTTCAGATGACTATTTCTGGTAGTATTTTCCACATTTATCCCATAATATAATCATTATGGGATAATGGACTGAGATCCACACCAGGAATCCTCTAAAAGTAAATAGTCCATTATTATTCTGGAATACTGACAAACCTCATCGATATAGTTCCACATTTATAAGCTTCTACTTACACTAATTCTCCAGGAATATGAATATTAGTTAAAATCTTACTGAAACACTCCAGGGCCAAACGCTCCAGTGCAGTGTGATGAGCGCTCCACAAGAGGATGGAGCGAGAACTAACCACCTTGGGAGGAAGCAGGGCAGAGAGGTAGGGTCACACCAGGAGTCTCCAGGAGTTTGCTGTCTACAAGAGAAAGAGAAATAAGGCAAGGTGGGCAAGTCCGTATATGAGGAGCAATTTGAAGAAGGGAGACTAGTGGCTAAGTGTATGTGTGAAATTATATCTGGAGAGGACACCTTGAGGAGCACCAAACAGGCCTCGTTTGGTATGGTAAGGCACTGAGTAAAATGCTATGGGGGTATGAGAAGTAAATGGTACGATGTTCGCCTTGTAACACAGGGTACCCTATACATGTGGCATCATGAGAAAACTGCTTTTAAAATGGGCAAAACCAAACCTTTTCTCAGTTTCTCTAACATAGTTCTTAGCATACATATTCTTCCTTGCTTAGGGTCATTTTGGTGTGTGGAAATAGAAAAATAGGAACTGTGGCTTGTAGAAATAGAAAAGAAGATTTTTTTCCCATGATGCTTGATGTAGGGGACCCTATACTCATAACTCACAAAGAGGTTACACATACCAAGTTCCAAAGGAGGCATTTCATTGAAACTCAGTATTGAGAATAAACACTGTGAACTCAAGAAGAGGTATCTTAAAAGAGATAACTCTTAAAAGATGACAAACACTCCAGAGTTGATAACTTCCATCACATTTCCTTTTTCCTGGGGTGGGGGCTGGGGATATTGAAAATAAATTAGAAATGAAAAAGAGATTATCAAAAACTTTTTATGTTAAAAAGTTTAAGTTGTTAGACATATGGGAAACTCTTTGTGTAAATCATGAAATAAGAATGGCCATGATTTAAAGCAATAGATTGCATCTCTTGCCTGAGCGCTCGCCTTCCCACCCCTGTTTTTATCCATATTGGATAATATTTTCCCAAAGTTTCAAGCCTGAAGCTGCCAGTGTTAGTTAGGGTGTTGAGTAAGTACCGCCCTCCGCCCCCTGCCCGCCCATGATGCCCTGGCCCAGGATGGAAACGGGCTCTCAGCCTATTCCTCGCTTACTCCACAGAATGACTCTGGGGGAAAATATTTCTAACCTGTTTTTTTCCACATCCTTATCTGAAAAGTGAAAGTATTAATCACTGTCCATGAGAAAACTATTGGGCAGGTTACTTAGTTTGTAAATAAGTTCCACAAATGGTTTCAGTAAAAACTTTCTCGTTTTAAAATTGAGAAAAGCAGAATAATCTCTGAGGCCAATATCCTCTCATTTGTGCATTCACAATTAAATAGTCACTCACTATGTTTTCACTGTGATCCTGTGATATCCACATTAGCTTTCTCTTGAGGCAGTTCAAACGTACCTCTCTTAGTTTTATGTATTAAAAATTACTAACCTAGCATATACCTTTAAAAACACTCATTTTCTGAATTTCAAAATATAGAAAGTTATGCTGTATTAAACTATTTCATGTATGAACCAGTCTATTCAATAAAGAGCTCTTATTTTGGAATAGTAGGTATTTTTGTTAAAGAATTCTTAATTAGAACTATCAAGAGAAGGAATGTTAGATTTTTGTAGAAAGAAAATATCATGATACAGTGAGTTCGTAATTTTTTCCCAGCAATGTCTTATACAGGGAATTTTTCTTAAATGGAATCTAATCTTTCCTCAAGAGGTCAGGATATGGATCATTCCTACAGAACAATCCATTCTACTTTTAACTGGGGCATGGCCTCAGTTACCATTTTAATCAGCCTGCCATATCATCAATCCCTTTTTAATGATAGAACTCATGTGAATTCAAGAGGAAATATAATATTCTATTCCCCATCTTCTGACAACACAGAAGTTGACCTAACTTTAAAATGAGTTACTGAGATATAATACAGAATAATCATATTCTACAGAAAAGATGTGATAACAAAAAAAAATTCACAGGAATAAACACATTTCAGAAAACCAGTCACCTGAATATTTCTTTTGGTCAGAGAATACTGAAGCCCTTTATAAAGAATTACTGAGAAACATTTATATGAGGTTGTATAACATGTATAGAGGTTGAAACTAAAACTTAAATGCTATTGCTTTAAATACTTAATTGGCTATTTTATGCTGGGAGTGAAAAGGATGAGCTCTCAAACTATTTTGGGTCTATCCCCATCTTTCCTATAAATCGCTCTTTATCCCTATTAAGACTTGCTCACCCTAGGTCCTCTGCTTTCAAAGATGACTAGCTAACTAACTTAATAATCAAGTCTAAATTGATGTGTCGATGGGCAGGGCTTCAATCCCAACCTTCCCTCCTTCTCCAAATAACTTAATTGCATTTCAAGAACAGTTTACCTGAAACCTTACCTGCCACCTTGGTTCTAATGGTAAGGAACTCAGACTAAGCAGAAGGGAAATGAAGCAGTAAGACAGATGTAGAATTTTCGGAGGGCCAGGTCCTTGGGGCATCATGTTTGCAGTCACCTTCATCTTTTGACCCTGGGCCAAAAGGTAATCAAGAAATTGTCATTCCAAAGATTAACTATGACAAGTCCAAATTTTCTCAGGATCCTAATTTTTACATACCTGCATTAATCTTCATTGCTAGCTATCATGACCTAAACCAAACAGCAACTTAATAATATATAAGGAATCAGAATAAGTCTGGTGAGAAAGCCAGATATGGCTTTTTTATGCAATTATATCCTAAGTTGCTTTTAGTGAATTGATCCAAATAGGAATCAACATTGAATCCTATTTTAATAATTACATTTGTTTATTGGTACATAAGAAAAATTAAATAAAAATGGGAAAATATTTAAAGGAAATTATCTAAACAATCATTTTAGTTTTCTAAAGCATAATTACATTGCTTTTCACCTATTCAAATGGCTTCGCAGCTACAATTTGTATGGCTACATCAATATAGGATTATGCATTTCAGAAGAAATAGGTGTACACCTTGTAACAACAAATTAATAGTTTCCAAATATTTGTACATTTCAGGGTGAATAAAATCAGGAGTGTCATGATGGCTTGTTTAAGAAATTGAACCTTTATGACTTTTTTCAAAGAAAACTTTATGGCATACAGTTCTTTTGGTATGCAAATATTAATTGATTGGTACTGAGAATAACCAGGAAAATAAGAAAATATAGAAATTTACAAAATTGAGGAAGGATATAACTTATGACTCATGTGAAACGAGATCCTTAGTGACAAACTTAGGACCTATTCCACTATGAATATATGTCTGGTAACATATTTTCTGGCTAATCAATAAGGTAAGAATAAAGGATATACTGAAATTATTAAAAAAAAAAAGTCATCCTTCAGAAAAGCATCATTTAAGGAAAAGTTTCCCAGAGTGCTACCTTCAGTTTAGGTCTCACTACCAGAAGAAAAGTAGACCTGCCACATAGTTCAGAGATATCTGGCATTATTATTTATCTAGTGTATACTTAGGACTTCATTTGGTAGGTTTTTATTCAAGGTGAGAAGGAATGGTTTTGACATTCATTACTGAGTAATGAATTCTTTCAAGTACTACATTTAACTTGATACCTATCCTCAACTACTGAAAAGAATTGTGCTATAGGAAAGCTTATAGTGACAATGACTACTTCATGTCGTGGGCCTAAAAGTATTTTGGAGTCAGGGGGTTTGAAGTATGTCTTTAAAATCACCCTCAAGACTCTCACTCTAATTTACATGGTATAATCCATAAAATTTATTTTGTATTGCTATACATTGTAAATTATGCTTGTCACATTCTTATCAAATGGTTAGCAGGTGTCACTGTTGATTGCTCAGTATAAATTGTATCGAATTCTTCTGCCACTGTACCAGCTGGGTGGCTGTACTGATTCCAGAAAGAGTCACTTCATTTTTATTACCTCATGACATCATCCTCTGCCCAATGCGTTAGCTAATAGACTAGCCTTTGTTGGCTGTGATCACTAATTTCTACTTGGACACATAGCAATTCTGTTGTTGGTTAGCTTGAGTGCTCCTTGCAAGCCCAGTCAAACACACTGAAAGTGAGCATAGCTTCAACAAGGATGGGTGAATGGCCTTCTGGTCTTTCTAATATCTAAAAGTCTACATAATATACCTTTTTAAAAACTATTCTGAAACATTTCCTCCTTTATTCGGTTTATCGGGGTTAATGTTTGTCATGTATCATTATGTTTTAAAGAAGATTTGATTGTATAGTATATTTAGACAAACTGCTCATTTCTCTGAAGTTTTAGGAATTCCTCATGCCTAAGCAGTCTGGATAACACGGTATCACAGTTTTCATTTGACCATTGAGACCAAAAGGGCACCTGTGTGATGCTTTTTATTTCAGAAAAACTTTAGTTTGAACTAATAAAAAATAAAGGCTATTAGAATCTTTAACATAGTATATCACATTGTGAAAAACACTTGTCACTTTTTTGAGCACTCTAATTGGGCAATTCATATGTATAGTGAAAAAAGATGAAAGAAAAAAATCCAATTATCATACTAAAAGTGTTTCTTTTAATACCTGTGCTCAGATGTCACCTTTAAAGAACAGGAGGAAAATTTATGGGTAGAATACCATGCAAGCAATTCACCTTAAATACAAAACAAACATATCTCTTTAAGAAAAGGTTTAATTATATTGGTTGGGGAGGAACTAACATTAGGATATTAATATATATTTATTGAGTATTTTGTCCAAGTTACTGTGGAGTGGGGGAAAAAGTCCATATTTTTACATCTTTACTGACTGAAAATCAGTAAGATGAACTAAAATCCTGAATTGACGTCATTTAGTTCAAAGTTTTTTATCATTATACTAATTCATCTCAGAAAACAGAAAGCTAAAAAAAAAATTACTATCAGTAAGAATGATACATTTCCTTGGTTTGGAAATTTCCAAACCACGATATTCTGCCCTGTCAAAATATATTCACTGGGGAATTTTTAACTTTATACGTTTCTTTTGAAGTTAATCACAATTTTACATCTAGCTGGTTTCATGATTAAATAAAAGAGAAGGTGATTCCCCTCTTGTACTGAAAGAGACCACATATGTGAATGATATTCTAACTTCTAGGTTCTACTAGAGTAACATCGAAATCAGAAACTGTAGAAATGTCACTTTAGTAACATCATACTGTAACAGGAAGTAGCAAATTCAGCTTTTTCTTTTTTTATCTACTCTTTGCTTAAGACAATTATTTTGAGACACAGCACTCTTTAAGTCATACTTCCTTTACGTAGATCAAAACCAAAGTCACTGGGTAATGCTTTCCCCAAAGGAATCTCTAAATAGCAGAGGGGGACATTTTTACGATGGATACACTTGTGGGTAAAATCTCAACTATTTATTACAGAATGAAAATCTAGCCCAAACTCTGCCTCTGTAAAACAGGTTAATTCGGTTTTAATTCTCATAAATCATAAAGTACTATTTTGAATATTTTGTCCTTTTACTTAAATTGTGTAGTTCCCCAGTGAGTTATAAATCAGAAAAGGTAGTACTGTGTCAGAACTCAACGACTCCCCCTTTGGATTTTAGTATTTGGGAACTTTAAAGAGTGGTGTTGTTTTTGTTGTAAAGATGATATATATATGTGTAAATAATTCAGAACTACAGAATTTAAAACATATATTTAAAGAGTCTTTACATTGAAAGGTAAAAATGTTATCAAATTGCCAGTTTTTTTACCCTTTTCAACAAATTACTTCCTAGGATTTAATGAGCTCTTTCATTTAAAAAGAAAACACATTTTTGCTTTCAGATTTCTATTCTATCCAACTTTATAACTGCAAGTACATACACAACCATTTCTCTGTCTTGCAGGTGGCGCAAACCAGGAAGGGGAAATCTGTGGTTTAAATTCTTTGTGCCTCATCCTCTGAATGCTGGAGGTGCGCTGTAGGCGGTATGCTGTTAATGCTAATCGTGATAGGGGTTTTACCTCCGACTGACTCCTACATGTTAGCATTAACAGGGTATGATGCCTGTTACTAGCATTTACATGGAACAAATGGCTGCCGTGGGAGGATGACAAAGAAGCATGAGTCGCCCTGCTGGATAAACTTAGACTTCAGACTTTATTATTTTTTAATTTGTTAATCATAATCTGGCCTCTGGGATGTTCTACCTTAAATTAAGTTTTAAGAGTCAGGTCATTTAAAAGATTTATCAGCGGTATTCTGAATGCGAACATTTTTACTTTAATCTTCAAGTCCACATTTCTGTTTTTATGTTTAAAGGAAAATGTATTCATGTCATTTTTAATTCTAAGTTATGGTTTGTTAATTATAATTGTTTACAAGCACTTTTAATGATTAGACTGGAAGACATACAGACTAAATACATTTTGAAACAAATTTCTAGAATATCTTTCTTGTTAGAAATTAGGACTACTATCCTCCAGTTACATCATAGATTATCTAGCAACATTTTAAAAAAGATTTAGCAATTGTTATTTCCACTATGTAATAATTTTCTATTTACACAACTTCAGTTTGAAATTAATATGTTATACAAATTGCAAGCTATAAAAATAGTCACAGGGATGTAAAGTACAGCTTAGGGAATATAGTCGATAACACTGTAATAACTATGGGTACTAGACTTACCGTGATCACTTCGTAAGGTATATGTCTAATCACTATGATGTATACTTGAAATTAATATAATATTGTATGTCAACTATCATTGAAAAATAAATTTAAAAAAATAATAATACTTATATTTGAATCTTAAGGGGGAATTGAAAGGCTATCACATTGAATTTGTATTTAAAAAATGAAATGCTTTTTAACAAGTAGAATGGTAAATGATGTCTGAGAGCCAACTCCCTATCTTTTTCCTATAAAATACAAAGATTTAATTGTAAAAATTCTATATTTGAAATTAGATCCCAAACCTAGGTTTAATAGCTTAGCCACATAATTCTCAGACCCATTGGGTCAGAAATCCACTTTTCTTCTCCAAGCCTGTTTCTAATCCACAGAATGGGGCTAATACTTTACATAGTTAGTGAGAGGCATACATAAGATAGAGAACTTTGTAAAATATAAAGTGCTTCCTTAATGTTATAGTAAAATAATCCAAGAACAGTTCCTCCCACTCTGTTAGAAAAAAGCTAGTGATTTGATAGAATTTTTAAGGTTTGGACCTCTATGCAATTTTTCTCCATAATTAACTATATCACTTACAAATAACCAATTGTAATTGTTAGCATACTTAGTGTATGCTTGTATTAGCAACTCTTCTTCACATTCGTCAAAGTTATGCACTATAACCAAATAAATCTCTTGAGTCTTTAGCTATTTAAAATAACTTTTTTTTGGACTTTTTCTTTTGCGAGGTACAATCTAATTTCAGAAGTTGTTTACACAGACACAGACACACACAAGACGATGGGGGAAAATTGCGAGAATCCTAAGGGTAACATTCCCGACTCCTAGGACATAGTCCGCTTACTGAGGGTACTCCCTTGGCCCAGCCCCGCTTTGTGTTCAAGTTGTGTGTGCTGCCAGGATAGATTCTCTTCTTAACCTTTGGAATGGACATCTGGCTCCATGGAGCCCCAGGTATATGCGTCACATTCAAGGGTGTTTCTTCAGACTATTCATTTTATATATACTGTTTATCTATAAGAAGAGTCCTTGTTTTGAGTCCCAATTCTTCAAAATCCCACTTGCTGCATAAAGCCACAAAGTCCCAGAATGTCAGGCCTGGAACAGGCTAATCTAGTATTGCCTTTCTGCTGTTACAATGAAAAGCTATGACCATCAAAAAGGAAGTTTAAGAAAAACTGTGCTGTGGAATGCATTATTTGAAGAGTACTAGACTACACTACATGAAACTTGAGTTACTTAATCTCTCTAAGCCTCAATTTCCTCACCAGTAAAATGATGAATATGTTTCACAAGGATGGTAGGCTTAAATAAAATAGTGCATATAAAGAGCACGATACCTATTATGCATTAAGGGTTAAACACTACCTTTAAAACCATGTTCATTATATCTATTTCAGTCATCTAAATCAAATGATCTACCATAGCAGATTATCCATAATCCCATGATGACGACCCAGGGAACCTAGATGCTGCCAGGATCACTTGGTTTTCTCTGACGCCCAACTCTCCTAGGCTTCTAGCTCCTGATCTGGTCTTAGACGACTCCTCCTGACCAATAGCCTCAGTCATTCCAAAAATTCTTGGAGCATAAGTCTGGGTTTGGCTTGGGGGAAGGGTTAAGTAGCAAAGAAGTGTGAATGTGAGCGTGTATGCCTGCATGCGTGTGTGTGTTTTGAAGTGACAAAGGGTGATTGAAGGAAAAGTGGATTCTGTGGTAGAAAAGGTAAAAAGAACCCAATTTTGTACACAGAATGCTGAATTGAGGCACTAAATTATGCAGGACATGGTTTCTTTGAAAAAAATTGAATGTCAGGGAGGTTCTCTAGGATCCGACCTACTTCTCCAGAAACTTGCTGAATGAGAGACCAGGCCTTTCCTATTCACTGTCAGCAGCTAGATAGACCCAGTAGCTTAAAAAAAAAAAAAAAAAAAGTAAAAAAATAGAATAAGAAGAAAAAAAGTGTGGTTCAAGGGACTGACGAATATACAGAAAACATGGAAAATTGAAAATTTTCTTAAACTAGAAGATGACCAATATCTCAAAGCAGGAAAGCTTGAAGAGAAAAAGGAGATTGAAGAAAATAGAGTCCATAAATGGGAAGCACTCAAAAAAAGCTGACCCATTATGTGATTCTCAACCAACAATGACTAGAAAATAATGAAACCAACATTTAAAATTTGCATGTAAGTATTCAGCTTCCCACTTTAGATTTCAAATTCTGTCACAGCGATACCAATTAGGAAATAACGTTCGCATAAAGGGGATTCTTCTTTCTTGTTACTATTGTGTCTTAACAAATATGTGTTCCAGTATTAGTCTCCACCTGGCTAACACATGCATTCCTAACCACCTAAGAAATGGATTTGAGGTGGATTTCTAATATCATCCCAATGATGTCTTCTCTAACTTCGATCACTCTTCCACCCTTCCTGCAGTGCTCAGTAATTTTCCAGTTCACTAGCACTTAACATACTGCATCATAATTTGTTTTGGTGTATGAATGATTAGAAGAAGTGATAACCTTGAGGGTCGATACACCATCTTACACATTCTTATCCCACTCAAATGTCTACTAACTTAATACAACATTATTATTCCAAGTCCAGCTGTAAAAAGAGAAATGAAGACAATGAACATTTCACTTTATACCAATAGGCTCAAAGAAGTGATTTTTGGCAAATAAAAGTTCATTATAGCAAACAAAGCTTGAAAAGCTCTACATATAACTGAAGAGCTAGAGTAGTTATTCTCACTTTAGAAACTTGTCAAGATACAGGTTCCCAGGCTCCCATGTCCAGAGATTCTGATTCTGTAATGGAGTTCAGGAAACTGCCTTTTATCAGGCTAACCAAGTGATACAGATATAAGTGGTTCAAAAACCAACTCGGACAAACTGGTTTATACCTAGTACTACTGTTGATATGGCAACTAGGGATAATGCTGCTTTTTGGAAGACAGCAGTAATTAAATTTCAGGTTCCATTATCCCTCCCCACCAAAAATATCCTAACCATCTCAAAATCTACCCAACATGAAAATCCCCCACTGAAACCAGTCACCCTGTGTTCTACCACCAGCTACAACCACTCAGTGATCTTGTACTATAAAGGCCCAAACTATCAGCTGTTGCTTAGAGCAAGTTAGGGAAGGTCAGTGAGAAGGGATTGAGTGCCAGTTCCTGCTGTGCAGAGTAGGCTGATTAATGAAACAATCATGAAATATCACTGTCATTCTATCTTACTCTCTCACCCCATGATGCCAAGGCTTCGCCAAACATTATACACAAGTATCCACTTAAGAAAATCCTACCCTTTCCCAAATGCTGACAGCCGAGCAACTTTTGATCCTTTAGCCCATGCCAAGCATACAGGAAATGAATTCGGAAAAGGGCCACACCCAGAAGTGATCTTTCTCCTCAGTTCTCCCAAAGTACAGTGCTAGCTCTTCTATGAAAGAAAGTGCTGCACAGTTAGCTCCATATTTGTTATTTGGGTATATGTTGTCCTTTCTTGTACATCATGAGCTCCTGTAAGATATATAATTTTAAACTTTTCCGTATTCTGCTTGGCTCAGGGCATTGCTTACAGTTGCTTAAGTGGAATGGGAAAATGTATCTAAGTCCCCACTGACTCTGGAAACACAGCTTGTTCTGATATGGAGACTCTGTGCCTAGCATGCGTGTTTGTCCCTGCTCACAGGACTGTTTTTCAGTTGGCTTGTATGAACTCATCAGAAAGCCAAAGCATCAACTTGGCTTTTCTTAAATTCTGCAGATCAAGAAGGCAGTCTCCATATTCACTTTTAAGAAATCCCATGATTCAAGAGCAAGGATTCTGAAACCAGACTGCTGAGTTCAAATCACCATATACCAGCTACATGACCTTAGGCAAGGCTCAATAAAAGTTTTACATACAGTGTAAAAATATGAAAATTTTTCCTTTTTATCTCCACAGGCAGGCTTGCCATAATAATACCCAACTTCCAGAGCCCTTAGAAATAACATTTCAGTAGAGGATTCCCCTAAAACTAAATATTTTCCCTTTCTTTCAATAAATTTACCCATATATGAAATCTAAAATCTGCTCGTTGAATAAATTTGTTTTTAAAGGATACTTATCAATACTTAAAATATATATAGGACCACCTATAAGAATTTTTATTACAGATCTACTAGTACACATGTAGAATCATGTATGTAAAAGCTTACTGGGTGAAACATTAATAGCAGAAATTAAAAATCAACCATTGACAGACACTGATGAAATAATGTTACTGTTCCCCTCAGCAAAAAAAAAAAAAAAAAGATCCCATGTGCCCCTGTTTTCACAGTGTCACACGGGTAATCAGTAAGCCTCTGAGCCCTAGCTACAAGGAAATTTAGGAAATTAGCTTTCAGTTTTCCACCTGGTGAGATTAAGATCCATAAAGTGAGAAGTTACCAGTGGCCATGTGTACAAGCAGTGCAAGGTGACAAAAAGCATGAAAAATATACACTCAAATAAAGGTTTGTTTTCTTATTGGTACACTCAAAATATTTCAGAATTTTTTCAAGAAAAAAATTCAAAGTATAAATCCACAAACAAGAAAGGGACTAGAAGAGGAAGGCAGCAGCAGCAATTTCGACCAATTTCTAGAAGATGGAAAGTAAAGTGACCAATGCAACAGCAGAGGATATCACCACCCAGAATGCATGTGGAGGGGAGATCTGCCCAGCAGGGCCTAGAGAAGCTCAGAGGTGGTAGAAGACAAAAGACAGAAAAAGAGGCTAAAAAGAAAGCGGTTAGTGAAAGGTCCATACACAAACAGTTGACCTGTACTCCATATCCCCTATCTTCAAATACAGAAGGGTCTGAATCCAGGTATTTGTCACCATTTAAAATGTTGGAGGGATCTCTTATAAAATAAGTGGAAGAATGACAGCAGTCAGTATAGAAATTGATTGCCAAGACCGACCATCTCTTCATTCTAGCATTTATAAAATCCTCATCATAATAGCCAGCTTCATCCTTAGAGCAGCCAAATCTGCCTAAAACATGAAAGGCTACAATAAGCAAAAAATCTGTCACTAGAGTAAAAAAAATAATCCAGGGCCTAGGAAATGAATGAACAAATGAATATAATTATTTTAGTATCTTTAGAAAGATCACAAAGATATACTGTGGATATTATGGACAAGCAGAAGAGCTTTCAACAAGTAAACTATGCTTGACAAATAAGAAGTTCAATTTAAAAGATTAGAATATAAATGCAAGAAAAATGAGAGGAGAAAAATACATAAGACCAATACAGAAGATCCAAAACCCAACTAAACTGTGTTAAAGAGACAGAGAAAAAGAAAAAGCAATAAATATTTTTTTAAAAAAGAAAGTTTCCTAGAGCTCAAGAGAGATGTCAAAATTGAAAGTACCAAGAATAACTGAATATCTAAATATATATAATAAAATTTTAGTGTTTTATAACACCAAGAATAAGAAGGTTCTAAGTGTCCATAGTATATACAAGTGTGTGTGGCAGGATGGGAGGTGGGGAAGAAGGCAGGCTTGCAAAGAACAGGCTATAAAAATCAAACTGGTATCAGACTTCTCATTAAGGACAACCGATGCCAGAAGATAACTGAGTTACTTTCAAAGTCTTAATAGAAAATTATATTTCAATCTAGAATTCTATATCTAGCCAAAAAGCTGATCAAATACAAGTTACAAAACAAAGCTACTTTAGCATAAAAGGGCTCACCTCTTCAACACTTCTTCTTAAGATGGAACTGACTATGGACTCTCGCACATGAGAAAGTTAATCCATGAACAGGATGATATGGACTCTAGGTAAACAATCCTACTCTAGGTGAAGAAATAAATCTTCAGATGAAACTTGTGCACCAAGCCCAGAAACAAAACGCTCAGACTAGAACGGGAAGAAATTTTTTGGCAAAGTATTTTTTAAAAACTAGACTTGTCTAATGCATGGGGAAACAGGCACTCTCGGACACTATTGTTGGGACTGTCATTTGGCAAAACCTTTTAGAGACTAGGATCAGGTAGCATCTGTCAACAATTCCACCACCAGAAATTTATTCCTACAAAATTACCTATATGTGAGCAGTGCAGAGTAGTACATAAGAGCATGTGAGTGAAGTTATCTGGGTCCAAATTTCAGCTTTGCTATTTGCCAGTTCTGCGCTGTTTCTTTGTTTACCAAATGAAAACACCTTCTCAACAGGCTGTTGTGAGGATTAAATAAGAGGTTTCATATGAAAGGCTTATCACAATGGCCAGCATACAGGAAACATTCAGTTAATTCAGTAAATACTCAGTTTATCCACAAAACACTTGCCACTTTCACACAAGGATGTTTAATGTCTCACTTTAACATGGTGAAAAATGAAAACAACTAATATGATCCTATTTATGTTCTTAAAAGATTATATTTGTAATTGTACATATATGTTTACACATGTACAAGACTAAAAGGGGAAAATATGCTAAAGTGTTACATCTAGGGAGCAGGAGAGGACAGGGTTGTTTCTGTGTGAAATTTTTATTGTGAATGACAAAAGTTGTTTTATCCTTTAGAGAAAGAAAGAAACATTAACATAAATCTTAGGAAGAAAAAGATAAGCACACGCAAACACTACATAGAAAACTTTTATTTTAATTTACTATACATGTTTAAATTTTAGGAAGATACTAAGTAGACGCACTTCCCTCTGTAGGTTTAATTTGATCTTCAGTTACCTGTAAAAACATGAATAGCTTTACTTTTCTAATAAACAGTTTTACCCTCTACTCATCATTCAAAATCGTTCCATAGTCCTTCTCTTATAATAACTCTTTCTCCTTCAATAATAATTATTATTGAAAGTTAAGTAGAAAGAGAAGAAAATTCATAAGGCTAAGTTCTCTATATAAATTATCAAGTACAGTAATTCCATTAAAAATATAATCTGAGGCATTTATCCAGGCTTCTCAAGCTTCTCTCATTTTATTTTTTATCTATAAAATGAAATCATAAGTATTAAGAAAAATATGTGCAGTGCTACAACAAGGTTTTTTAAATCATTTTGCTGGAAAGTATAATTCTATTTTGAACATAGTACATTATAGGCTTAATACAAATAGATCTCTATATGTCCATATTTCTGTTCTACGTTACTCAGACATATCACACAAACAGGCTAATTTGTATTCCTCATCACCCCAAAACCTGCTCCACCTCCTGCATTATCTATTTCAGTGAAGAGCTCTACCCGGCTGCTCACACCTGGCATTAGAGAATCTACATATTCAATCAGCTGTCTTACCAAGTCTACCTCACAGCCATTCTCACCACCATGCTTGAACTTTAGAATCTCATCACCTCCTATCCCCCTTAATAAGCGTGCTGGCCTAAGTTGCAGCTATCGTCCACACTGCCCCCAGAATGAGCTTTTAAACAGGAATAAGCTGCCCCATAGGTCACTTCCTTGTTAAAATTCTCCAATCACCTTCAGGAGGGGAATGCAAATTCTACATCATAGAAGATGAGTCCCTCATACTCTATTTACAACAAACTTCTTTGGATTCATCACCCACCCTACATGTGACTGTACATTCAGATTCATTTTACATTTACCATACTTTCCTCTATATCCCTATGCAAGTAGCTTCCTCTGAGAAAACCCCCAACCCATCCCCCAGTAAATTATAGGCCTGGCCCACTTTTATTCATCCTTTAAAATCAGCTTAAGAGACACGAATTCCTGGGAACCTTCCTTATCCAAACCCCAGCTTGGTTTGGGTCTTACCCCTCTATACGCCAGACCCACAGGTACACCAGAAGTGTCTGCTTATGTCTAGCTATCCCATTAAATTAACTTTCTTGAGGACAGTAAATAGGTTTTATTCATTTTTGTACCTACTGCTCCTGTCACAAAACACTCAATAAGTCTGTGCTGGTTCAATCAATGAACCATACGTTTAACCTACTCTCTTTAGACAAGAAAAATGGATGGTGGAAGAAAAAAATCTGGACCAGAATAAATATTTCAAAAACAGCTACTTGCTGATTTCTATGAGATATTCTAGGTTACTGTCTCTATAATTTTTCTGCATTGTTCCTTGCTTTAAAGTATTCAGTTATAATTGCTTCCTGAATTTCTCCAAACGATTTCCTATACACTCATTTCTTCTCTAGTCTTCATCTAACATTGTGACCAACCAAAGAAATAAAGTTACTCCACCTATTCAAATATACATTCATCTCATAGGAAAAAAAAGAAAATTACGTAAACTTTACATAAGACCATTATGGCTAAGTAATACCTAAACAATAAATTCTACCTATAAATTAATTGATACAAACTAGGTTTATATATTATCATTAAAAAAATCAATAAATATTTATTGGGTAAAGCCCCTCACCCCATGTGCTAAATGTTGGGTTCAAAATTGGGAGTTACACATATATAACAAATCCTGAATGATTTAACAGATTGAATGTAAACATACTAGCAAAAACAATCAGAAAACAATACGAGGAGGTATATAATCAAGTGGAAATGATACGAATGGATACTTGACAAGAAATTACTTTGAGAACGTTTCATGGAAAAGGTGAGACTTGGGCAAGGTACCAAAGAATAAATAGGATGTAAGTACACAGGAGAATGGGAAATGGAGTCCCAATGAAAGAACTGTCATAAATAAATAAATAAACTTGGAAATAAGTTTGACACAGCTGATTAGTGTGCTTCCAAGCCTGACTAGAGCGGAAAATTAGGGTAACTAGGAAAGGTTCATGCAGCTGGATTACACAGGAGAGCCATCAGATAATTTAAGTAAAAGATGAACACTTAGTATATGAAAGAGTGAACAGGGATAGTTGTGGTTAAGAAATATAACCATTCCTACTTATGAAATCTAAATGCTAATGACACAGAATAAACTACAAAATCACAAGTATTTAAATTTGACTTTTCAGGACATTTCCACGTTTAATATGTCAACAGGCAAGGCAGCTTTAAAATACATCTGACGAATCTTAATCCTTTAAATGTTCATGAAGTATACAAAAAATTATAAGAACTAATTAACACCATTGCAACCTTTAAGAACTATTACTACTATATAGTAATATTCTTATATTTCTTCAAGTTCTACAGTATCATTTGCATAATATTAACAAATAAAAGAGAATTACCAAATTACAATTTTTCTCTTGCTGAAATATGACAACAACCACAAAACTGCTTTAGCTATTGAGACAACTAAATACTTTTCTTCTTTCTCTTTCTTCTCTTTTTACTTTTTTTGTTATTAATTTCAAGGAAAATTTCTTTGTAGAAGAGTACTCATTAACTGTCAAAAACACTTACCATTTTCCGAGATCTTTCCAATAGCTTATCCCATACTGTAAAATGTGCCTTGAAAAGAAAAGATTTACTATGAATTAACTAAGTTAGTAAAGTTAAAATAAAAGGGGCTGAGTTTTTACATAGGTTTTAAAGAAAACAAATACATAAAATGTTAGGCAGTACTAATGAGGTTAAATGGTTATAAACGTAGACTAGAATAGGAGGAAAAGATACCATATTGAACAGTTGTTTTGTTTGGCACTTAAGAAAAAAAGACTTAAGCACTGACTATGGTATTCTTCCTATTTTCTCCTCCTTAATCATTACCATTATTATAACGGGAAGCAAAAACCTGCCACACTTTCCTGTAGATTATGTTTCTTTCCTTAAATAGCCAATTTTAACATGTTAGAGGTCATTCTTCAAATCATAATCAATCACAAGGAAAGGTTCAGTAAGAACTGACTATGACATCCTCATGCTGAAATGGCAGACCTAGAGGATTTAGCAAATCACCCTAAAGAACAAGTAAAAACTAACAAAGACAATAGTAAAAGTGAGAGCCAACTTAATCTTTAATCCTTAACAATTTCATGTAAGGTTATCAGAAGGAATTAATGAAAACTGGGCAAAGTGCATAATGACCATATCGATTTTATGAAGTCAGTTGAAGGGGATACTGAGCAATATGTGTGGGCCAGTGACTATTTCACACTGATCGGGCTAGTAAAATTTATAACAAAAGGTAGAATTACTAAACATGTACACACAGACACTTCTGGAGACAAGAGTGGCACGGTATGTTTAAAGTGAAAACCATGCCTGACTCAGGCAGAATGAATAGCTGGTGCAAAAACCTTCCTGGAGAAAGAGGCATGAGATGAAGTCAGAGAAGCAGGCAAGGACCAGATAGTATAGGACTTTATGAGACAGGATAAGGGTTAGAATTTGTTTATGAGAAGTCACTGGAAAGTTTGGGACAGAAGAATTACATGATTTGATTTGTAAATTAAAAAGCCATTTTGACTACTAAGCAGAGAATGCACTGTGGGAACAAGAATGAAAACAAGGAAGGGGAATGAAGAGTGAGAGGGATTTGGAGGAGGGAAGCGGTAGTAGATGAGATGCTTTGCAGTGGATGGACTCAGGATATACTGAGAATTCCAATTTGAAAGGATTTGCTGATGGAAGGGATAAGAGCATGGTTCTGACGGAAAACAGAATCAAGAATTACCTCAGAATCAAGAATTAGCTAGGTAAATGATGATGCCATTTTCTGAAATGGAGAAAGCAGGAAGAGAAGCAGGTATGTAGAGAAAAATCAAACATGTAAAGGAAATGTATGCTAAAAATTACAAAATGCTGATGAAAGAGATAAAAGAAGATTTAAATAAATGAAAAGATATACTATGTTCATAGACTGAAGACTCAATATAGTAAAGATGTCAATTCTCCCCAAATTGATATACGAGTTTAATACAGTTTCTATCAAAATACCAGCAAGACTTGTCAGTATAGAAAAGATTACTCTAAAATCAAATGAAAAGGCAAAGGACATAGAATAGTTAAAATAATTTTTATAAAAAGTAACATGGGCGGAATTATTCTACCTGATTTCGAGACCTATTTATAGCTACAGTAATCAAGACTGTGATACTGACAGAGGGATAGACACAGATTAATGGAACAGAATAGAGACAGAATAGGAACCCAGAAATGATCCCACACAAATATGCCCTCCAATTTTTAACAAGAGTGAAAAGCAGTTCAATGGAGAATGACAGCCTTTTCAACAAATGGTGCTGGAGCAAGTTGATGTCTATAGGCAAGAAAACATGAACCTCAACCTAAATCTCACATCTCATACAAGGTTTAACTCAAAATGGACCACAGATTTAAATATAAAACTATAAAATTTTTAGGAAAAAGAACTGGAGAAAATCTTTGGGATCTATGACGAGGCAAAGAATTCTTAGAACTGACATCCAAAGCATGATCCATGAAGGGAAAAATTGATAAAGTGGAGTTCAAAAAAAATTAAAAATTTCTGATCTGCAAAAACTTGTTTATAGGATGAAAGGACAAATTACAGACAAAGAGAAAATATTTGCAAACTACATATCTAACAAAGGACTACTATCTAGAATATATATTTTTAAAATTCTCAAAACTCAACAATAAAAAAACAAACGATCCAATTAGAACATGGCCAAAGATATTAATAGACATTTCACCAAAAAAAGATATACAAATGGCAAATAAGCACATGAAAAGATGTTCAACACAATTAGCCAATAGGGAAATGCAAATTAAAACAACAATGAGAAATCACTACAAACTAATGGGAATGGCTAAAATAAAGAGACGATATTAAATGCTGGCAAGGATCTGAAAAACTAATTACTCACACATTGCTTGTAGGAATGTAAAAGTACAGCCACTCCTAAACTCAGTTTGGTATTTTCCTGGACATTTATCCCAGAGCAATGAAAACATATATTCACAAAAACCTGTACACAAATGTTCATAGCAGCTTTATTCATAATAGCCAAAAAGCTAAAAACAATTCAAATATCCTGTAAAGAGTGAATGGTTAAACAAAGTGGGGTCCACCCACACCCCACACAAAGGAGTACTACTCAGCAATAAAAAGGAACGAACTACTGATATATTGATACACACAACCACTTGGATGAATCTCCAAAGAATTACGCTGAGTGAAAAAAGCCAGTCCCATAAGATTACATAGTATATGATCCCATTCATGTAACATTCTTGAAATGACAAAATTGTAGAAATGGAGAACAGATTAGTAGTTGCCAGAAGTAAAGAGGTAGGGGAAGGGCAGAGGGGAGTAGGCGTGGCTATAAAGGCCAACATGAGGGATCCTTGTGAAGGAACTCTTCTGTATCTTTACACCATCAATGTCTATACTCTGGTTGTGATATTGTACTGCAGTTCTGCAAGATGCTATCATTGAGGAAACTGGGTAAAGGTAATTGAGATCTCTCTGTATTATTTCTTATAACTGCATAGGAATCTATAATTATCTCAAAATCAAATTTAATTTTAAAAAGGATTAGCAAAGGTAAGAGCAATATAGAAAATGATAGTCTTTCTTTGGATCATGAATAGAAGAGCATGCCAAAAAGGCCAAGGGCATTCCAGAAGGTCTCACCAAAATGCACTCCAATACTCCTCAATGCACCCTTCCCTATACTAATTTGAAAAACGAAAAATGCTATCTCGATTTAATGTTTCTTTTATGAATTATCTGTTTATACTCTCGGCAAAACTGTTTTTAAATCATAAACCCAACTTTACAAAATATTAGTGTCACGCAATAAAAATTGAAATGTATGTCCTTCAAACTGGTATAAAATCAAGATCAGAATCACACCCACACCCAAACAACTGGACGAGTTGAAACTTTAAGATTTACTTACTCTTAAGTGAACAGGTAAAGAGAGACCCTGGAATCTTCGTACAAGATTCGACTGAGCGGCTTGAAGGTTGTGAACTGCTGACACTTCGTACTGGAAACAAATACTTGTTCTTGGAATAAGAGGGCCCTCACTCACATCAATGAAGTCACCAAATCTGATTTGATTTTAAAAACAAATAAAACCTCAAAATCAAATGACTTACAATACATTGGGGAAGGAAGGGAATCTATTAATTCTCTCTGCTGCTACGTCCCTAATCAGGAATATTCTAAGTGGCTGGATTCAGTCTCTAGCAGCCTTTGACATCACAGGCTCAAGTGAAGAGGCTAAAACTTTGAAAATTAAAGTGAACTTTTTTCTTCATTAGCATTGATATAACTTTAAAGATTTTTAAGATCACTGAAAACATCATGTTATCAAGTAGATCCAGTGTCTAAAACTGATAACCTCCAACTTTTTAAGAACTCATTTTAACAGAGTTTAGAAGTCAGTAAATAGGGAAAATTGTGTCCAAAAACAAAGAGCGACTTTCTAGAGGAAAAAAATTCAAATCTAAATCAAGAAAGCATGAGGTTGAATAAACAGTTACAGGCCATGAAGTCAATTTTGCATAACACACTGTCTTACTTCTCTCATCCCTGAGTCAGAAAGCACATTCTGGTTTAATTTACTTATATGTAATATAAGTAGTAACTGATTAGTCAGAATTCACATTTCTGTATACACATGAATTATCATGTGCAATTCCTAATGTAAATATTCTGCTCAATTTCAAAATTATCTCTTAAAAATTACATTTTTAAACAATGGTTTTCCACTCTTTAAATGCAGAAATAAAAATAACAATAAAATGAGGAACAGAAACCACAACTGTTCCAGAAGACAATTTAAAGCTTCCAATTACCACATTAAAACAACAAACGAGGCAATAGAAAATAAGGTTAATAACAAAAAAGGTACAAATTCATCTTTTACAGTTGTATACTACATTCAGATAACAATAAAGCTAAACCTTACTATAATTAGCAGCCAATGTTTTTTTTACTTTCACTTACCTGTGTAGCTTAACTATTCTCTCAGAGTTCTGAGATGCCTTCTCTTCTATGTAATCTATTTTATACCTAAAAAGCAGCAAAGAAAAAAATTTAATTATAAATATACAAAGAGGTGTTTTACGAAACCTCCCTTCTCTTCCTCTTTAGGTTTACATTTGGTGCCTCCTCTTCCTGAACACCCGTGCACACCTCATCTCCTTCAATGTGGCCACACACAGTCTCACGATTCCATGAGACTGATTCCACCGATGCCACAGCAGCCTCCTAGGCGCCAACCTAATGGGCACTTTCAGGTCCTCGTTTTCTTAACACCACTGCTCACCTCCACTTCTCAAAATGCTTATTAATTCTCTGGCCACTCTTCTCTTTCTCTGCCCTTCAAGGGTTCTGTCCTAGACCTTCTTTTCAGTCTTAAGAGTCCTTGCTGTGCTAGCTCCTGGATTTGCACAGCTTTAATAACCACCTATGCATTTATACCTTCCACACCTCTGCTTCTAATCCACACAGCTCTTCTGAGCCCCAAACTATACATCCAGGACCCTTCTGGACATCTATTAGGGTGTTCCACAGGCACCTTAAACTTCCAAATTCTCAAAACTAAACAAAAAATTGTCCCCTCTTTTCCCACAAACTTCTTCTTATTCCTAGCTTAGGAATAAGATAGCTCAGTTCTTATTTTCCTAGCTTAATAAATGACACAGCCAACCACCCATTTTCCAAGTGAAAAACTTGGAAGATTTCCTTGATTTCTGCTTCTCCCACCACACTCCCTACATCCATTTCATTACCAAGTCATGTCACAGTTCTGCCTAAATGCTTCTCGAATCTACCCCATTTTGTCAGTGTAGTTAATAGCAGAGATGGAACCACACAGCCCAGGTTCAAATCATGACCTTACCACTTACTATCAAGAGCCTTGTCTATTCACCCCACGGTGCTAAACAAATATTACATGTGTGTGGCAAAGCTGGGAAACATTAGTTTATACAAAAACATCCACTTACTGCCACACCCCTGCTGCCAGGGCCTCCCAAGCATTACCAAAGGAGACCATTCCCTTGAATGTGTACCTCCCAACCCACCTCTAAGAGATGCTCCTGTCTTCTGGACAGAATCTATGCTATTTTTTTTGCAATGCAGATTCCCTTTCTAATTAGTTCCAATTTCAATTAGATCAATATTAAAATTTAGTTTATGGTCTTACAACTAGTGGAAGAACGTGAACTGGAAGTTTTCTGAGTGAGAACGGGAACTGAGAAGCCAGGATTTAAAATGTTGACAAAGAAATCTATCAAATGAATAATTCTTGTGCAGAAGACTAAAACCTAGCTGTGTAAACATTCTACTTCAGCTGTTAGCTCCCTCCAAATGGCCGGCACTTTCTACCTTACCCTTTCATTTAAAGAGTGCAAGGAGGGAGGGAAAAGGCTGCCAATGGACAAAATAATAATTAATATCTGTTATTATTTCACAATGGAAGGAAAAAAGAAAATATACGATTATGTTGATATAAAGAGAAGGAATGGCCAAAGAAACAGAGAGAGAAAGTGAGAAAATTATCAAACGGGAGAGGGGGCCTTTCCTCAGTGAAATAAATAATGAGATGAACAAAAGTAAATAGGCTGGTACAGAAAAAGAGATCTTAGAGCTAAAAATAAAACACTGTTCTTCAAACAGCAAATATAAAAATTCTTAAGATCTCAATTTTCTTTACTGCATATAACTTGGGAAGGTTAATCTTGTTTTAAAGGAAGTCAACACTTACTTGTTGTGTTGAAATATTTCTAATGCCACTTTTGCATCAACTTCCAGAGTTTCAAATGGAAGATCTTTATAAATTAAAGCACGAGCATCCTTTGTGAAGGAACGTAGGTTCTCCTTAAAAATAAAAGTATTAACCTCTTTAACAATTTACTTAAAAACATTTCTACATAAGGCAAATAAGATAAATTGTATGAATAATATTCTAAATCCAACTAAAACAAAAAGCAAATCAAATTTGTTAGGAGAGTTATTAGTTTGTAAAATTAAATATTTGGACCATAAAATGTAAGGGTAGAAATTTTTCCCAACTTCATAAAACTTGCAAATTACTTGTAATTAGATATCAGTCTGTATCAATAATTATTAAAGATAATCCTACAAAAAATTTATAATAAACATTTCAAATTATACAACCTTATAAATATTTACGAAAACGATGCAAGTGGAAATGCTAATAAATAGTAAGATACAAAAATCTGTTTACACTAATTTGTAAAACTAAGTTTTTTAGATACACAGAGGAAAAGTTATTGTTTATATGACTCAGAAAGTTTCAATAGGAAATGTAATGTCATCATTGGCTCTGTCCAAAATATAGCATATTTCCAATATGATAACTTTCTGCTTAATGAAAATGTCAACTTTACACAATTAAAATGAGTCTTTAATAATACACATTACCGATGTTCATGAGATTTTTAATAAAAACTATAATTGAGTTTTCATACTATAAGTCATTAATATAGAAAAGATCGATCACTATTATGCAAATAATTTTTGTAATAAAATTCTTTCCATAAACTTCCTGTTAGATTTCTTTCTACATGAAATGACTCTTCTCCATTCTTGAAGGGATAACATTGTATTTCTACATTCATGGTTTAATATAGCTGTTAGTTGACTATAACTCTCCCTTACTTTCTCTAAACTGTGCACTCAACCCCATGAAGTCTGCGATTAGCTAGTGCATTTCTTTTTAAGGTTTTATCTTTAAAAAAAGGAAGAGGAGGCAGCATGTTTCACAAATAATGAGAGTCGAATCTTGATCTCGTGAGTTTTTACTTAACTACTCCAATAAAGAATCTCTTTTTAAATCTGGGGGCATACTTAGAAAGGAAGAAGTTAAATCGATGTGAATCCAGAGATTATAAACAGTTCCAAGTCCTTCCTAGGCTTTCCTCCCCATCTCTCTCTTCACTTCCTCCCCTTCTCGCTTTCTCTCTTTCTTCCTTCCTATTCACTCCTCTCTCCCTGTTGACATTAAGTATATCGGTAGGATTATAAAAGGAATAACTTCCAAAGCCAGAATTTAAATCTGCCCTGACTCCAAAACTCTTGCTTTTAGGAACTACAGTTTTCACTAAATCTAAGATGTACCACCAAAGGAAAACACTATCAATTATAAGATGCCAACTATGGTAAAACACATTTGTTTCCAGAGATATTAAAATGTGAAAAAAATATACAAGATGGAATTGATAAAATGGTAGGCTACATCATCTCCCCATTTCTGGTCTCTAGACTTCCAATCTGTAGGACATACAGTTTTGCTTAATTAAGAATTAGGCATTTGCATACTCTCCCTAATCATAACTAAGTCTCTAGGTTTGACTTTTGAAAGTTGTCAGCACCCCACACCTACGGAGCATCTTATCTAGATCGTCTTTGTTAGGGAGGCCCGCTGCTAGTCAAGTCCCCAACCAACCAGGAGCACCCTCATTAGAGTGCAGACCATTCACAATGAGTCTAGTTTGTTGCTATTTGGGTTAGCTTTGTCAAAGTCTGAGTCTTTAATTCGCTCCCCGCTCTCAATGTGACCCTTGCGTATAGGAGGATCTCACTGTACAAGTTTAGGACAACAGATTTCAAATTGTGCTCTGGGGATCCAAGTTTAAGGCTCCATGCTCATGTCCACCATATCAGCCAAGATAGTTAAGCTTCTATATTTTATGTTCTGAGCACCTTGAAAACCGCTATCTTAAGGAACAGAGGAAAAATACAAGGAAGGAAGCATTTTAAGAAAAGGTCGAACAGGACATAAAGCTTCCATACAACTGACCAGGCTTTTATGAGTACCTTCATTCATATGCTTCTGCCTTAAATACAGTGGAAAAGCAACAAAAAAGATAGATTGACAAACAGACAAACGGACAGCTTCATTCCTTTAAATATCCTCAACTCAGTAATACTAACATAGGAATAATTCTAACAAAGAAAAGCACCGTCTCTAAAATACTCCAAAGCAGGGGCCCCAGCCCCCGGCCACAGACAGGTACTGGTCCATGGCCTGTTAGAAACCAAGCCACACAGCAGGAGGTGAGCAGCAGGCAAGTGAGCGAAGCTTCATCTGTATTTGCAGCCGCTCCCCAGCTCTAGCATCACCACTTCAGCTCCACCTCAGATCATCAGGCATTAGATTCTAATAGGAGCACAGTTCCCCGATGCCGGAAAGGTTGGGGACCGCTGCTCCAAACAGCATACTTACTTTTGATGGCATCCACTCATCAAGTCTCTTATCCAAAACTACATCATAGCAGAAGGCTCCTGCAATTACTGTAAATCCAACCGAAATAAAAGGCATAGTTACATCTGTTAGCGTAAAAAATTATCAATTTGCAACAACTGAATGTTATACCATAAAATGAAGTGTTAAGCAATCTCTTCCAACTCTACAAATTACAAAACTGTTATCTTTATCCTAGCTACTTGCCAGAGTTCTACCACCTTTACCACATCCAAAAACTTAATTCACCTATTATTAACCACAAATCACCAGTATTTTTGAAACATTCAAGTTTTCTTCAAAAATATTATCACTACAGAGATTTCAAATAGTTACCAGATACAAAAATTTCCAAAGAACAAGGTATTTAATAAGGAGATAAATGACTAAATGGACATGAAATGTAGAATTTTTTAAATATCGCCTACATACTTTTATTTTTGTCTTGTTCTTCTTAGAATCATTTATTGAGTTTTTCAAATATTTTTAGTTGTATATACTTCTACATTTTTAAAATACAAATGTGATCCTATTACACATAATACTGCAAAATCCTAGCTTTAGCTAAATTGCAAAAAGCATGAACTCTTCCATCTCCCCCAAATGATGTCCCTCTCCAGAGTCATGGTCATTTCTAGTGACATTGTACTACCTAAGTGTGACTTTCTCCAGAAGTTTATTTATATTCCCATTCCCTGCTCCCATTTTCCATTTAATTTAGAAATAAATGCTTAAGTGGTAAGAAATAAACACTGGGACAATGTAATTACATAAACTTGACATTCAAGAGAAACAGTCTCCTCTAATTGTATTACATTAATTTTTGACCTCCAATAATTAAATAGGATGCACTTTGTTACCCATAATAAATGGAATGTATGTATGATGGTAATTTATATTAGATAAAATTAGAAATGAACTCTATACATCAAAAATAGATCCCAAAATATTCAAAGATTACAAAAAGTATATTTATATTTATATGTGTACATTACCAGGAACTTCTGGAGCTCTGACCAAACTGACCACATACTCATCTTTGAATGCCCTCTCTATCACACAGCCCATCATCATGGCACAAGAACGCCAATAAGCCTAGAAAAATAAAATAGACACAAACATACAGTCTAAGATTCAATGAAGTTTATTCGACATTAAAATTTAGGTTTTTGACTTAGGGAATATTATTCAAATATCTGTCCATCTTCAACATGTAGCAATAGTTTCCATCAGGCCGTGACACTATACTAAGCGAAAACCACAAAAGAATGAAACACCAACTTCATATTGTCAGCAATATTTCTGTGCAATATATCAGGCACTCTAATGTTTATCAACCAATATATAGTTTCACTATCTGGTAGTAACTTTATTTTTAACCCAGGATAAAGTTAACTTGTTAACAAACCTGTGCTAAAGTAAAGTAAATATATTACTATACACCTGTTTTTAAATATATATAATGGAGGAGAAACTCAACTTTTAAGAATTATTTATAACTCTTATTCTATATCTAACATCACATACATCACTCAAGTTAATTATCTGTACAGCAAAGCAACTTCACTATTAACCAGGCTTTCATTTTACTAGTATGTTTTGATCCACAGTCATGCCTGATATGGGTATCCACACAACGACCTTATCAGAGTTGTAAATAGAAACACAAGTTCTGCACATACCTGCTCATCTTATGTTCATACTAGCACTACTATAACTGGGCACTTAACTTTCATAAGTTCTTCTCTACATCTGAGAACTACAAGAGTGGGTTCATTTGGTTGTGTGTGGCAGACTGCTACAGAATGTATTCTATACAACCACATAACATACACAAAAAATAAGTACAAGCTCAAGCTATGAAGGCGAGTAGCAAAAATGCACTTCTTCATCTATCCTATGAAGATGTTTATAAATCTGTCGAACTCCGGAGTCAGAATGCCTAGGTCCAAATCCAGGCTCTACCATTTCCTAAACTGGTAACTTGGTCAACCTCTCCTTGCCTTATTTAGTTATGTGGAAAATAGGGATAATAGCATCTATTTTATGGGATTTTTATGAGGATTAAATAAATATTAATACCTAAAAAACACTTAAGACAGTGGTCGATACACAATACTCAATGTTAACTATTACTATTATATCTATCATTTTCTCGTTTAAGTATTTCATTTCAACAAATATTATTAAATATCTACTGTATGTAAATTAAGGACTGGGTCCAATAAGGAACATGATCCCCTTCTTCTCAGAACCAAATTAAAATTAAAATATTAAAAATTAAATATCATATCTAGAATTTAAATTAAAATATGCGTCTAGAGATACTAGCCAAGTATTGTGAAGCCCTAGAGAAAAGAAGGATTAATTCTGACAAGAAGAAACTAAGAACCTTCCTCAGAGTGGATGGCATTTTAATTGAACTATAAAAGATAAACAGGATTTTAACAGAGAGGAAAGGAAATGCTCAGAGTTCAAGGAAGAGCATCAACAAAAGCAAGTAGGATAACAAGCATAAATCACTAGTTATCAAGTCTTCTACTGTGGCCAGAGCAAAGAGGAAGTGGAAAGATGCAGTGGGAGGTAAGGCTGGGGTCAGATCACACAGGGCCTGGAAAGTTACAATGAACAGTTATCAAATAGGAAAGTTCTTTAGAATTGACATGATCCTTAGCAACGTCATGTAATAAAACTCTTATAGGACTATTAAGGAAGACTTTAGTATTAAAGGGGAGAGGGGTGGGTAGAAAGAGTGAAAAAGTTCTTGAAATAATCCAGAGAAGATGCTCATAGGCTGAATTCCAGCAGTAGCAATAGGGATGAAATCATCTGCAATAAAGAGGGTGATGAATAAGTGTCAGTTGAACAAAGATATGAATGTAAAATACATGCCATATCGTTTCCTCAAACCAAAATACATGAATGCCACTGGTATTTTCTGAACTGTAAAAATGCCTAATCTAATAAGTAAAACACAAGCTAGTACAGTATAACATTTGATCTTGGCTATATTTGCACATTTCATACTCTATAGAAAAAAGATTTTAACAAAATCCAGGAGAAAAAAATTTAAAAACCGAGGATTAGGAGAGAATATGGAGACAGAAATACCTTATTAACTTCTCCTGGATCGCGATCTTTGAAAGTAAGAAATTTAATATCACAGGACTTGGTCAAAGGCTTATACATGTCCCACGGCTGTCCATCCACAAGAGCCAGAATGGACTTCTTGCAGTACCACTCACCTAAATCTAGAAATTTAAAATAGATTGAAGGTCAAAATCTAACAAAACTCAAAGTGAAAAGTTACATGTTTAAGTGCTATCTTAAGAAATAAAACAATAGAAAGACAAGATTCTGCAAGCTGTCTTTCTTTTTGGAGAAAAAAGTATTACATATTACCTCTGTAACCATTAAAAAAATAAAACCTCAAACATGTATTGTTAAAATCTCATTTTTTTTTTTAACACCTACAGCACCTGGTATTCCAAGGTGGTCTCCCATCCAAGTACTAACCAGGCCAGACCCCACTTAGCTTCCGAGATCAGACGAGATTGGGCACGATCAGGTCAATGTATTGTTGATCATTAACAAAATTACTCAAACCATTTACAAAATTCAATAAGGCTAAGTCTAGTTTGAAATTAATTTGTCAATTACTAATTATTAAAACAATTTTCCAAGAGCTACACTTAAATATTCAGAGAGCAGCATCATTGATATCTTTAGATATACGCACGCACAACTTACAAAGGAAAATATACTGTACTTCCACAGTAAATCTGTTCTAGGTGGGTTTGGGGTATTGCTCTCGAACTGTCTTTTACCTCCCTAATTAGGTGGCTTTCAAGTACACAGCTATCACAGAAGTGGTCAAATTATAGGGTCTAAATTATCAGCCATTAAATCAGTTTCATAAAGGCAGGGTCATGTCTATTCTTGCTCACTCATCAGTATATCCAGAGCCTAGCACTAGGCCTGAAATATACTAGTACTCAATATAAGTTTACTGAATGTCAAACAAGTCTCAGGGCAGGGGTCATGCTGAGGGTGGTTCAGAGGCTTCATTCATCTCTCCATGGGATGAGAATAAAGCTCCTTAAGGGTCGGAGGTTCCGCTTATCCTCCCTTGCAATCCTAACACCTATCATATAGCTGAGGGTCAATAAAGGCCAAAAAATAAAAAATAAGTGAACAATTATAAATACTAATTCAAATGCCAGAGTAAGTGAACATTGACAGTGTATACTTTATAAGCTATAACTAAAGTTGCTACTTAAATGGAATCATTACTGAGTTTTCCAAAAGTATGAACAATGCAGCTAGTCATATATAAGAGTGAGCATTTGGGTGTATATCTATTGGGGGAGGGGACTTTCTAAATTTAAATATTATCAGTTCTATCAAAGCTACTATACAAACATTTCGATCAGAAATCAAAAATAAAAATATAGAGGCCCTATTCCCTTCATTTCCACACCAAATCACACACAGTACACAGTATCTCCCTTAAGATATGAACACAACAAACATTATTACCCCAATCATATTCACCCCATGCACACTTCCACTCACACATTTACTACACATACATGTAAACAAAAACACAATAGAGGCAAGTGGTAAGCAGATAAACAATTTAAGTTAGGCTATAAGAACTAGAAAGGAAAAGGCCAAAATAGCTGAGGCCAGGGTAGGCCCTCTACAAAATCCTTTCAGACACTCAAGGTCACTGCTGCCATTACACCAGAATGCTGTCTAAAAGAACAAGCTATTAAAATCAGTGCTTTCAGATCTGCCTTCCACCAGAAACAATTATAGCACCTAAATTTAACCAGATTCAAACAAATACCAGCACAACCTGTACCAACCTTGCAACATCCATAGTACCCTCAAGAGCTTAAGCAACAGTGAACAGACAGTAAGATGCCAGATAAAGGAGAACTTCTGGGACATTCAGAAAGCAATTAGAGCATCTTGCCTCCTCTGCACCTATTCTCCCACACAGCTTAGGTATGAGTCAAAACTGTATCCTGATTGGTTACTTACGCATGGCACAACTATAAGGAGTTGAAATGTTTTTATTCATCACAAACATAGTGCCAGGGTCAGTTTTCCCAACGTGTTTAACTTCAATCTTCTCAGTTCGGGGAGTTAGTGACAACTGCCTGTTTTTCTCTTTATTAAAGAGATCATTCTGCATTTCTATCAGTTCGGTTGGCGACAGTTGAGAAGCTGTTGATGTTGCTATAAATCCTGTGTAAAAATTACAATAAGAACGCGGAAAAAATGAATAACAGAGTGCCGATCCCACCCTCTTCTACTCCCACATCACCATCCTCCTACAAGGAAAGAATAGGAAAGAACAGAATTTAAAACGCTGTTCGTCAAAATACTTTCAGTGGTGAAGTTAAACTACTTTCTAATTAATCATTAAAACGCCAACGAAGGAAAACCGCAGCTAGCCCAGATCCACGCCTTTACTTCGACTTTACTCTTTCACCATCAGATCTGTATTTCCTACTAATTTCCACTGTGATATTCCAATCTGTACTTTACAATAGGAGCAAAAATTAACCAGGAAGTGGAGTCAAAACTAGACTAGTCATTGGTAAGGTGAGCAAAGTTGTCACTTCGATAAGGTCTTGGGGACAACGAAGCTGCAGGAGACTGGAAGTCCCACGCCAAAATTACCACTATCTAGAGCGAGAAATCCGGAGCTTATTTAACGAACCCCAAATCAGAAGATTTGACAAGTACGAGTATCCCAATGGAAAAATAAGGACAGGTCTGCACAGGAACATGGGCTCCTTCCCAAAGGCACCCCAGGCTCCTCCAAGAGGCTCTGCCCCTGCCCTCCCTGAGCCCCTTGCTCCGGGAGATCTGTACCCTCCGCCCTCAGTCCCGTGGGACCCCCAGGACCCGCCTCCAGCCCTATCTGTGAAGAGATCATCCTTTAAGCCTTGCTCCCCGTCTTCACGGCCGCTGAAACTCACTCCGGCCAGCCCCGCCACTGGGGGCGGCCCGCAGGAGCCGCAGCCCCGACAGCCCCACTGCCATCGCCTCCGTCGCGGCCACAGGAACCGCCGCGCTCAAGTCCTCTGTCGTCTTCCTCCCCGCGGAAACTCTGAGCGCGCACCCCGGGTTCCGTAGGACAGTTCCGTTCCGGAGCCGACGCTCGGGCTGCGCACCGCCACCGCCGGGCGCGTTAGCGCCTCGCTGAGGATTAGTTAGTTGTCTGAGATCTGGCGTCTGGAGCTGGGGCGCGCGTTCCAGGGTCGCAGAGGCTAAATGACCGAGAGGTGCTGGGCCACTGCGCGGCGGGTGGGTCCTCCACCCGGGGGCTCTGCAGGAAACAAGCGTCTCCTTTGGACCAGCGTCCTGTACGCGTCCTTACCTTCTGTCCGCGGGTTCCAGACCGGCGGGCTGGGCGAAGAAGCCCGTGCTTCCCGCAAAGAGCACTGGAGAGAAAATTTGAGAAAAAACTGCTTCTATTTACTCTTGTCGCTTACGTGGTCAGCCCGGCTGGCCGCGTCGAATACATCTTCTAGCTGGTAGCTTAACTCTCGGTTTTGCTAGGACGAGTTTTCAGTTCGGCCGGGCATTTATTTAGCTATGTTGTCTCGTTGTTACTGACATATCCAAAGCTCCCGAACACTGCAGGACGCACTCAGTAGATTTTTGTTGAATGAACGAACGGAATGCCCTTGTAAAAAGTTGCAGAGCGGTTTCTAATGCCTTTATCATACCAGGATTTACTGCTATTGAAGTAAGCACTCTGCAGGTGAAGTATGGAAATGCTTTCCTTCAAAGCTGTTTGATGCAGTGACTTAAGGCGTTTAAGTGTACAAATTGAGCCCGTTCCCTCTTCCTTCTCGATCTTTGTCTTGCAATGGCACGACACTTCCACCAGGGGGAAGTACCGGCTAAGGAACAAATGCCCGGCTAAGACCCTCCAGGAAGGAATTGGGTGAAGGTGGCCTTAGAATACAAACTTCCATTTATAAGATAAATAAGTACTAGCGATGTAATGTATAACATGATAACTATAATTAACAATGCTGTTTTGTATGTTTGAAAGCTGCTAAGAGAGTAAATCCTAAAAGTTCTCACCACAAGGAAGAAAAATTTTTTAGCACTCCATGAGATGATGGATGGTAACTAAACGTATTGTGATCAAGCTGCAGCATGTACCTTTAATCATTATGCTGAACCTAAACAGTGTTGTATGTCCATTTTAAAACTGGAATTAAAGAAAAAAAAAAAGACCCCATGCCAAGATAGCTCTGCCCACTTGGCCCAAATTTTACATTCATAACAACTGAGCGGGGAAGATGTCATTATCTTCACTCTTAAAATGAGAAATGTAAGTGGCCGAGCTCGGATTTATACCTAGTCTACGTTTTAGTAGGCTACCTCTCATTTAAGATCCTATTTCAAACAAAAAAAGTATACGCACATACACATAGATGGGTGATGTATATGTATGGTGTGTATCTTTGGCTTCCTCCTTAAACAAAGCCTCAGAACATATATTTAAGCAAATTTAATTATAAATTACATTGGGAGCAGTAATTAGAAGTCACAAGTATCACCGAAATTAACTTGGTGGAAGGATGTTAGTAATGATAATGTCCAACAAATATTGAACATATGCCACTCATACTGAACATTTGCTAAGTGATCATGTTTATTAATTCTTATAACCCACTCATGCAATAGGGATAATAATCTCCATTTTCCAGGAGAAAAAATTCAGGTTTGGAAGGCTTGAGAGACCTACTCAAGGTAAAACTTTAGCCAGGAGTTCCCCCAAATGTTTCCTTACTCTAAATCTCATTTCTTGTCTACGGCCATGCTACCCTGAACAAGCCAGATCCCATCTGATCTCAGAAGCTAGGTAGAGCCGGGCCTGGTTAGTACTTGAATGAGAGACCACCTAAGAAGACCAAGTGCTACAGGCATAAAAAATAAAAAATAAAAAAATAACGAATTGTAAACTGACAAGGTCCTTGCCATCTGTGAGGTCAAGCAAGGGTTGCCTAAATAAATAAATAAATAAATAAATCCCTTTCTTGTCTCCCTTTATCAACTTTCTCCCCAAATCTCAATCTCACCCTCTTATTCTCTCTCCCAAATAAAAGAATCAGGTCAATAGCAGTAAATATCTAAGATGAACCTGGAACATCTTATTGTGCAAGAAAGCAAGAAATAATCAAAGATGGACAGAAACATGTTAAAAGGGCACAGACTCCATCTTGAAGAAGGCTCCCATTGTACAAATTTAGGACAATTTAAATTAAAAAAAAAAAGAATAATGAAGGATTATAACATACATGTTTAAAATCCATGAGTCCATGGTGATACACAAACATAAATGAAGAGGAAGTTTTCTTTACAAAGAATGTCAGATAATATATAGAGTAGGAATAATTGAATGGGGGAAAACACCATTCTGCAATTACCAATGTGATAGTTGATTCAGAAAGGGATCATCTACGGATGCTAAAACCAGTGGGGAAAATTTCTTAGAGATCAAGATCGTCTATCTCTAAATATCACCCACAGATTACTGAGGAAACTCCAAGGAATAAAGGAAACTGCAAAGGAGAAATCTGACGGATACTATATCAACAACCTTATCATCGCCCAAAGTGAGACAATCTGACCTACTTTGTGCCTTCTGGTTGTGATATAAACAACATCACCTGTGTAGTATTTGTACCATAAATATTTAACTTGAATCTGAAGAATTATGAGGAAGAGACATCAGATCTATCCAAAAATAATACGTTCTACAAAACAACTAGCCTAAATGTTTCAAAAATATCAGTTTCATGAAAGATGGACCAAAAAAGTTCACAGAACCTTTCTAAATTAAAGGAGACTAAAGAGACATACTGCTGATAGCTGTGTATGATCCTTGTTTGGATCTTGGATCAGAAAGAAAAAAAATTTACGACAGGTATCATTGTGACAGAAATTTAAATATGAACTGTATACTAAATAACATTGCATCAATGTTGTATTTCTTGGACAAGAGTGTAGTATTGTGGTCATACAGGAGAACATCCTTATTCTTAGAATATAATGTTGAAATATTTAGGGGTCCAGTATCACACCTGTAACTCTCAAATGGTTCAGCAAAACTAGGAGCTCTGTATCAAGAGACAGAGCAAGGGTAAATTAAGCTATGTAGCAAAATGTTAACAATTGGTAAAGCTAAATGAGGTGGTGTTTGTACTACTCTTTCAACTTTATTCTGAATGTTTTCAAAATGAAGAGTTGAGGTAATAACCACAGTAGTTTTCAACCACAGCATTTGTGAAGCTCACATTGCATGTCAGTAGCAGCAGCTACAGGCTAACTGTGGCTCTGCAGTTTTATTCCAGAATCCAAGCTGTAGAAGCAGTCCCTCCTTGGGACTTGTGCTTCTGTGGCAGAGGGAACTGAGAACAAGGACTACTCTGTGCGTTGGATCTTTAAAGCTTCTGCTCATACTCACCTAATGCTCATCCCCACTGTCCCCTGTTTACAGCAAGTCCCTACAGCAAGCTCATTGGCAATGGGCAGGAGGTGTATGTCTTCCGCAGGGAGGCAGTGATTGAGGTTATAGAATTATTTAAGGAATAAAGCAAATAACTGAAATCAAGGATCTAATCAGCCATAAAAAAGAATGAAATCTTCCCACTGCAACAACGTGGTTGGACCTAGAGAGTATTATACTAAGTGAAATAAGTCAGACAGAGAAAGACAAATACTATATGATTTCACTTGTTTGTGGAATATAAAAAACAAAACAAACAAAACAGAAACAAACTCTTAGATACAGAGAATATTCTGATGGTTGCTACATGGGACGGGGGTTGGGATATGGGTGAAAAAGGTGACATGATTAGGAAGTACAAACTGGTAGTTACAAAATAGTCATGAGATGTAAAGTACAGCATAGAATATATAGTCGATGATATTGTAATAACCATATGATGCCAGGTGGGTACTAAAACCATAGAGGATCACTTTGTAAGTTATCTAAATGTCTAACTGCTATGCTGTACACCTGAAACTAATATAACATTGAATGTCAACTGTAATTGAAAAATAAACTTTTTTAAATAGAAATATCCATTTAAATAGGAAAAAAAAATACAGTAGCACTCGGTAATTGTCCCAAGATCACAAAGATGAGCTGGGACTCAAACTCAGGTCAATCTCCAAAGCCTATGTTTTTATTTCTCAAATCTATGTCTTTCTATCCAAATATTTGATTTTACATGTTCAAATTATTATACATGTACTTGCTTGGAAAATCATAAATGTATTACAGAGTACCCAGTGAAAAGTCTCCCTCCCAGCTCTTTTCCCCATTACTAGTTCGGGATGCCACTGTTATTCATTTCTTGTATGTCTGTGAGAGTTCTTGATGCCTCTCTCAGCTAACCCAAATATACACACAGAGTTAAATGTGTAAGGATTTTTTAGGGAAAATACATGTGAGATAAAAGGGGAAGGAACCAGGTAAGGCTGACCCCAGGTGATGCGGAGAGGCAAGGAAGACAGAGTGGAGGCATTCTCGACTGCACAGCCTAAAGAAGGTTCATTAAGGGGAGGCGGTTGTCGTTGAGCCAAAGTCTACCATCAGAGGGGTCCCAAGGTCCCAGGAGCAAGCTTGCCTTAGCACCCCACCACTCTCAGTCTTCGGCTGGGAGTGGCCTCTCAGAAGTGAGGAGTGTGGCTTCAGAGCAAACGTGGTGATGGATTTCCAGCTCAGTAACTGGGACTCTGGGTCAGTGACACTCCTTGTAATTGGAGGTCCGCGAAGCACATGGAATAAGCTGAAATCAAATAATTAAAAAAGCATTTGCTATGCATTTCACATTTTCTACATAATTAAACACACACACAAATGCACTTGTATCAATTATATCAGGGCTCAACATCCTCCACGTCCACCTGGCCTGACAGGTGAGGATGGACATGCTAATCCTGAGAAATGAAAGGAAAAAAGCAGGTGCAAACCATGGCTTTTCTTTCTATTCGTATGTGATACCATTGGGCAAAATGGTACCTTCACTTCAACATCATTCCTTACCAGCTCCTTGATGGGCTGAGGTGGCAGTGGAAAGAAAGGCGGGGGCGGGGGAGGCGGTAGGAAGAGAGGGAGAATATGTGATTATGTCTGTGATTGGTGGGGTTTTGGAGAAATGAAATGCAGACAAATATAAAGGTGTACAGATAGTCCACTTCTTCTGCTACCAGTATTTTTTTAAACACCTCTTTCCTCCTTATATCACAAGAAAATCTTATCAGTTCTTTCCCAATAGTAAAGACAGCTAAGGATACAGATCACCAAAGTATAGAGTTTCTTGTGGTTAACGTCTTGTTT